AAAAAAATCGTAGAAAAAAAGCTATATCTGATATAAATTTGTGTATAAGAATCTTCCTATATGTCTGGAAGGAAGTACAGGCTTTTTATTTCGAAATTTCAAGTAGGCGAGATGTCACGTCCACATACGAAATATATATAAAAATAAGCATATCTCAGAAACTGTAATAGCTAGAGTTAAATATTAAATCAGTATATCTGAGAAAATAAAATAGTTTTAAAGACAAAAATTCTTATATCTGGGAACCCATTGGAACTAGAATACCCAAATTTTCCACGAAGAACTTTGACATCCATGTTAACATTTGGGTGCTAAATTGGCAGACTAACAATAGAGGGCGTGGCACCTCCCATATGAATTAAATACTATTAAATACTATTAATAACTATTAGAATTAGTAACCTCAAATTTTGCACTTAGAACTTTGACATTCATGTGTACATATGGGGAAAAATAGCGGACTTGCAATAGTTGGCGTGGAATCTCCCATATGAAGTAAATACCAAAAACGTATATCTAGGAAACCATTACAGCTCTATGTATATAATTGAAACGATTTTAATACAAATTATAATCTAAAATATTAGTTTTTAAAAACCTTTAAATATTTCTTAAAAATTTAAATAAACTTAAATTAAACAAGTAAGAGTGTTATATTCGGCTGTGCCGAATCTCATATACCCACCATCAAACCGTATGCCGTAAAAGGAATGCTCCCATATAAACATCAGGGTGTTGTTTGGAATATAGCTTAAGACAATTATGGACCGAGCTCTTTTGAACTAACAAAATATTAATTTTTAATATTTTGTACTGTACTTGTAAATATCAGAGTTTTCTTCATCAAATTTTCTAAAGAGGATCTCATATGTGGTGTATGGTCAATTGTTGACCTATCCTCATAACTTTTTGTAGACTGATTTTGGTTCATATAAAACTTGTTTACATTCGCTGTTCTCGCATTTTTATACCGGCAATTAGCGTTCATGTAATTTTATAAAGTGGCTTATATGGGGGGGTAGGGTGAATTACCGACACATTCCGCATGAAATTCGGAGCGAATTTCATAACCGTATTTATAACTCATATTTTTAAGCCAGTAATGATCGTTTAAGAAATTTTCTAAAGGGAACCTTGTATGGGCGGTAGGGTAAATTATGGACCGATCCTCCCTAAATTTAGTGGAGAGATTTTGGCACGTATTAAACTTATGTGCGTCAATTTTCGTCACTACATTAATATTTTTAAGCCAGTAATGAGCAGTATAGTTATTTGCAGAGGGGGCCTTATATGGGGGAAGGGTCATTTATGGGCCGATCCAAAAAAAAAATTGGTACCGAGATTTTGGCTCGTAAGAAACTTACGTGTGTAGCATTTCATCGCTTTACTCTTATTTTTAAGACAGTAATGAGCGTTAAAGCTATTTTCTGAAGTGGACCTAATAGGGGGAGAAGGGCCAATTATGGACCTATCCATATTAAAGTTATTAAAAAGATTTTGGCTCGCGAGGAACTTAATTGTGTAAAATTTTATTGCTATATTCGTATTTTTTAGCCAATAATGAGCGTTAAAGTCATTTTCAGAAGGGGACCTTATATGGGGGGTAGGGTCATTTATTTGCCGATCTTAAAAAAAAATTCGTAGAGCGATTTCGGTTCGTAAGAAACTTATTTATACCGAATTTCATCGCTATACTCGCATTTTTGGACCAGTAATGAGTGTTAAAGTAATTTTCTAAAGGGGACCTTATATGAGGGGTAGGGTCAATTATGGACCGATCCTCAAAAAATTTGGTAAAAAGATTTTGGCTCACATGAAACTTATTTATGTCGAATTTCATCGCTATACTTGCATTTTGTGGCCAGTAATGAGTGTTAAAGTCATTTTCAGAAGGGGACCTTATATGGGGGGTAGGGTCATTTATGGGCCGATCCTGAAAAAATTTGGTAGAAAGATTTTGGCTCATATGGAACTTATTTATGTCGAATTTCATCGCTATACTTGTACTTCTGAAGCAGTTATGCCCGTTGAAGCTGTTTTTTGGAGGTCCACTTGTATGGGGGCTATCCGAAAAAGTGGACCGATATTGCCCATTTTCAATACCAAACAAACCTTAACAATAGAGAATATTTATGCAAAATTTAAACTGCCTAGCTCCTCTCGTGTGGTCCCTATCGTGATTTCAACAGACAGACGGACAGACGGACGGACGGACGGACGGACAGACGGACAGACGGACGGACATGGCTAGATCGTCTTAGAATTTAATAAGGACTCGGAATATATATACTTTTATGGGTCTATGAGCAATATTTCGATGTGTTACAAACGGAATGACAAAATCAATATACCCCCCATCTTTTTTGATGGTGGGTATAAAAATAAAACAAGTGAGAGTTAACTGAAGAGGACCTTATATGAGAAATAGAGTTAATTATTGACCGTTTTTCATAAATTTTTTAGACCAATTTTGGTTTATATAAAACATCTTTACATTGATTATCTCTTACCGATACATTCCGCATGAAATTCGGTAGGAAGATTTACGTTCCAGTAAATGTTTCTTAAATCAAATTTCATAACTGTTCACGTATTTTTAAATCAGCAATGACCGTTAAAGTAATTTTCTTATGGACCGATCCTCAATACATTTGGTAGAGAGATTTCAACTCCTATGTAAGATATGTGTGTCGAATTTCATTCCTTTTCTGGTATTTTTTAGCCAGTAATGAGCTTTAAAGCCATTTTGTGAAGGAGAGCTTATATAGGAGTGAATCATATGCAGATTCTCATAAAAGTCGTAGAGAGGTTCTGTCTCTTAAGAAACTTACTTATGTCGAATTTCATCTCTATACTCGTACATTTAAGGCAGTAATGAGCATTAACTTAATTATCCAAAGGGGATATAAAGGGCGTAAGGTTAATTATGAACCGATCCACAACTTACTTGGGTCGAATTTCATCGCTTTACTTTTTTTAAGCCAGTAATAATCGTTTAAGTAATTTTTTGAAGGGGACCTTATATGGGGGGTAGGGTCAATTAGGGACCGATCCTCATGAAATTTGGTAGGGAGATTTTGCAATATATGAAACTTATTTACGTCGAATTTCATCGCTATACTCGTATTTTTAAAACAGATATGTCCCTTAAAGCTGTTTTTCGGGGGTCCACTTGTATGGGGGCTATCCGAAAACGTGGACCGATATTGCCCATTTTCAATATCAAACAAACCTTACCTATAGAGAATATTTGTGAAAAATTTCAATCCTCTAGCTCTTTCCGTTCGGACTCTATCTACAGACAGACAGACGGACGGACATGGCTAGATCGTCCTAGAATTTAATAAGGACTTTTGTGGGTCTATGACCAATCAATATACCCCCCATCTTTTTTGATGGTGGGTATGAAAAGTCGACACAGACTGGGTTAGAACTCAGAACCTTCCGACTGCCAGTTGAATGTTCCACTTACTACACCACTGCTTAGCAGTTTTATTGTGCGTCAAATAATAGTTTGATAAATTTGATTTAAAGTAGTTGTTGGGTAATTGGACTCAAATTCTTTGATTGCCCATTAAAATCTCCTGACTCAATTCCCTTAGAGATGCAGTTCGGGGTTTTGAAGCGCTGGGTCGGAACTCGGCGTTTTAGAAAACATAGCATTTGGCGAATGGCTTAAAATTCGATTGGAATTCATTACGAACAAAACTAGTAACTAACATATTCTATAAGGTTGTTTGGAACTCATAAGAACTAAAGATTTTCATAAGAAGATCAAAAAGTTGCTTAAGTTTGGAACATCTATTTATGTAGTTAATTCAGTTACTATATTCTTCTAACTCAGAGCGAAATAGAATTAAACTTTTGTTGTTATTATAATATAGACATATAATATTATACAAATCAATTATATAATTTTGAATAAATCAATTAAAATAGAAAATATAGCACTTTGTATACAATGACAAAAAAATTGCTTAGGTTTCGAACAATATTGTATATACTTTTGTGGGTCTACGACCAATATTTCGATGTGTTACAAACGGAATGACAAAATCAATATGCCCCCATCTTTTTTGATGGTGGTTATAAAAATATAAAAACGTCTATTTTCACAGATTAAAGTTTACTGTGGAACTAATTAAAATTTCTACATTTAATTTTATTTTATAAAATAATGCTTTTGAACTGTTAAAACAGACAGTAAAAGTGCAATTTTTAGCTGTAAAGAAGTATTTAAAAATGTTACAAAGTTTACATTAAAATAAAAGCTACAAAATTGATTGATAAAATAACACAATATGTGTTTGTTTTAAGAAACATTATTTTTATTATGGCTTTAAATAATGGAATATTTAAAATTTAATTACTTTTAAAGGAATATTAAAACTATTTTGACCAGATGCGCCATTTTAAAAAAGTCATTTTTTTGCAATATGTTTGTCTGATTCTATTTACATTAAGGTGTGTCGTGGACCATGTACTAAATACAATAAAAATAATGTGTAAAAATTTAGTTTTTTTCGATACTTATGGGCTATTTTTTCTGGTTTAAAGTAGCAAAATCTATAAAGGTTATCTAATTTTGGCCGGAAGATTTTTTTAATGTTTTTGTAAAAATAACAACACTAAGTACCCGAGATACCTTGTATTGATAATCCAATTTCAATAAACAGATACAAATATTTATTTTATAAAAGTTTTACTCTACCATATATTAGCTGATACAATTATACTTCTAAGTACATAAGAGTTTAATATAAAATTATCACGGCTCAGACTGAAAAAGTTCCCTTTCTACATTTTGAGTAAAATCCGATTATATGTTCTACATTTAATGCCTAACATGGCAACCCCTTCAACAGGATTAACAAGTGGAAATGGAAGTCACATAGAATGTAAGCCCAAAAGGTAAAGCTTTTATGTGCAGCGATAAAAGCTTTGTGGAGCTCTGCAAAGTACGAATATTCATAATGGCGCACGATGAAGACAATAATGACAGTTTTGTTCGGTAAGCATAGCAGTAAAGTTGTCGTTGACGGAAAAAATAAATACAGAAATACATATTAAATACAACTTAAAAGCAGAACAAAACACAAACGAACCGAATAAAAAAGAAAAACAATAAATATTTAACAAAAAAAGTGAATTTGAAAATTCACAAAAATCGACTTAAAAACACATACATAAAATCTCGAACGAAAATTAATAGAAAAAGTTATTAATTAAAGTGTAGAATAGTTTTAGGCAAATTAAAACGAAAGTAAAAAAATCTTCCTTCCTTTGTTCATATTGTCATTAGCAGTGCGTGTGTGTAAGTGTATAATACCGTATATATAAGAAGTGTAAAAGGAAAAGAGAAAGAAAAAAAAAGTATTCTCTTTTAATACATTTTTTTTGGCAAGTGTCAAAATAAAATTCCTGTCATTTACAGTTATTTTGCTAAAAGATAACACAAATAGAAATATGACCAGTGTTGCATACTTTTAGGAGAACATTAGTAACAAACAGGAAAAACAAACTCATTAAATTGTGATTTCACTTATTTTTATCGCAATTTTTCATGTTTTTATTATCAATAATAACAATAAAAAAGCCCACAGTAATCGTAAAGTAATAAAACTCATAAAAATATTACATCAATTAAAACTGAACTAAAAGTATCGATAAAGTAACACACAAAGAGAGGAAGAGTGCAAACGGAAAAATAACATAGAAAATAAAATTGTTAAAATTAAGTGTAAAAATATTAAACAATTTAAGTGAAATATAAAATAGAAACGTTGGGAAACAGAGAAATACATTTAACAATAAAAGAAATCCCAAACGCGTGCAATGATTTTGACAGCATGCGTTTACCCAATAACGGGCCTGCTGTTTTTATGCACTTTTGGCATTGTTGGAGTCTGGTCGGAGGATGTTAAGACTGACACGGCAACTGCAGCAGCGGCAGCGTCGTCAGAAGGTGGTGGTGGCAGAGCCCATTCTCGTCCAGTGGCTGGAGGAAATGACGTCTTTACGAGTTCATTTCTAGTTCGTTTCCGTCGCAGTGTTGACAATGACTTTGCTCACAATGTGGCCAATAAATACGGCTTTGAAAATCTAGGAGCAGTAAGTAGTTTATTAAATATTTCTTGTTGTTTACTTTTTCCACAATCTTCTTTGTCAAACATTCTATAAAAATAAAACAAGCAAATAACATGTCTCTTAAAAATATTCAACAAAAAAATCAATATTACAGCCTGAAGTTTATGCCCGTATGTTTAGCACACAAAAAGTAATACTCACACTGTCAATGAGTGAGTGAGTGGGAAAAATCAATGAAATTTTGTTATTGTTGCTTTTGGCTGTTCTCACGTTTATAACGTTAGGATAAAAACGAAAAAAAACCTACCACAAAAAATAAAATATTTGGAGGAATTCACATAAAAACTTGTATCTATCCAACTAACTATACCACAAAAATCATAAGGAACTAAATTAATTGCCAAATTTAGTTAAATCAACAAACTCGGGCGAACGTTTTCGTATGCATTCAAGTGTAATGAAATCCTTAAAGTATGCAATATTTTCTTTTTTTATTCTTTGATATTTATAGACCAGTAACTTTAAATCGTTTAAATTATTATTGACATTTTTCCCGCCCCTTGTACTAAATATTACTTATGTACACATAAAAATATTGATAAAGAAAAAGTTTATTGTACATTCCCCAATATTTATTAACACTTTGAACAACCCCTTTATCATTATCTTTGTCTTTTCATTTTTATTTTTTTAGTTTTAACATGCCTTTGAAATTTATTATAACGTTGGCGTTGAATATACGATATTTGACTGCAGCCAAAAGTCTTGTTTATTATTTTTGAGAATTTTATATTCACATATAATTTTTAATATTTAACTCTAAGGAGCCTCTAATATGCAAATTTAATATAATATTTTTTGGGATTTATTCTTGAAATTTCTAAAATTAAATTAAAAGTTTTCGGAAAATAAATAAATAAATTACCATATTTATTCCTAGTTTTTAATGTTATTTTTATATGATGAAATATGCAAACATATGTTAGATAATTTGTTATTAACAGGGAAACCAAAATATGCAAATGCATGTCGTCGTATGGACTCATGGATAAGATTTTAACACGTTTGAGACCAATTTAAGAATTTTGGCGTCGATTTGTTAGCGCAAATTTGAGCATATTTTACCCATAAGAGCATAATTTTGCATGATTTGACTTTAGCAGCATATTTAAAGCTTATTTTCTGGTTTTTAGAGCATATTTTAATCTTCTAGTGTATATTTTAATGTTTTGTGGCTTATTTTTTTTTTCAAAACTATTTCTAATTTTATTTATAAAATTTTAATGCTTGTTTTACAATTTTGAAAAAAATCGTTTGTATAGTTTGAAAACGGCAAAAATACATTAGTCTTATGAAATCTAATATTATAGTTTTTTATTCGATAAAATATTAAATTTTTAATCGCGACAAGATGTCCAAGTGCTTAACGTGAACACCTGCCTTGACGACCTATTTCACGGTCCACCACGCGCCCCTGAATCCTTCTAGGAAGAACTCATGTGGCATTTTTTGTACATGGCTGTGTCGGTCCAGCACTTTGCTGATATACTCGAGCTATCTAATCTCTTGCTTGGAAAAAGCAATCACTGGTCTAAAGTCAATAGAAGGGGGGAAATCAATCTTCCGGTATACCTGTCAAAATCAATAGAAGGGGAGAAATCAATCTTCCGGTATACCTGAAGGTGACCACCCTTTTGATGTCAAGGAAGATTGCATTATTTGAAATGCTGTCCCCGTAAACTAATGACCCATTCCACTGCATTCCTTAAACTTTTAAAGCCCGCTACACTACTCAGATGGCCCTGTTGATTCGGCAACATCACCTAGAGACGTACTTGTAGTCCGAAATACCCAGCCAATAAATCAGGATCCCTCTGTATGTCAGATAATGTGACAAAGAATGTAGGAATTTCCGAAGTTAATTCGAACCTAATAATTGCCACGACAAGTTGAGTGGTACGTAGGTCTCAACCATCGCGTAGCATGAAACAATATGCATCCTGTTGAGATGGCAACAGCACCGAGAACTTCTGTGAAGTAAAAGGTCTACTAAATCTGTACTAGTCTCCTCTCGGGCAGAGGAATATTTCCCGATCGTTCACCAACTTACATCAGTTCCATTCTCAGATCATAAAGAACGATCTACGAAATGACAGACAACTACCCCAACCTATACTGGCGCCCTACTACGCGAAGAGTAAGAGATACTCAACGGGTTGAGGAATCCAGCATAAGCTGTTCTGTCACATCACCCAGTGACATATGTTGAGATGGCAACAGTATCGGAAAGAAAATCCACACATATATGGCATAGGATATATCAGACCTTAAACCAACATTCTCTCCCCGCGAATTTGGGTTTAAACCATATATATATATTATATATATATTATATATGAGAGAGAAACTTCAAAGAAGATCATTAGGTGGCAAGGAAAGGTCGAGGATACATTTGATTATCACCAGCTTATAGTCCCGGCAGACTAGAGGTACTGATAGCACATATTTTCCCGGGATTGCAATCACACCAAGATGGGATCTTTCATCAAGGTAACATGCCCCCGGTGTAGTACATACATATGTACAATTTTTTTATCAAATAATTAAAATGTGTGTATGAAACTTAAGAGCAGCAACTTCACATCGAAAGAGCCTCATGTGGCTTCCGAGCCGTAGTTTGCCGACCCCTGATCTAGACGACTAAATATGGTATTATGAGTGTGCCTTGTAACTATTAGACATTATGTCTAATAGTTTTTGTTGTCCTCCTATAAGTATTCCATTTCGGGCACTTCATTGTGACATATCTCAAACGAGGGGCATTTCCTTCAGTTTTCATAAAGTGTACAAAATATTTAGAAATAAGAGAAATAAGCTTCATTAAGTTAAAATTTGTCTGGATTATTATCTAAAACTTGAATTTTTGTATACTTAATAATTTGTGTTGTAAAAAGTTATTTTTGAAAGAAATTCTCGATTTATTTGTTATATGAAATTTGTCAATTCGATCAACTGAACAACGCTTAATCGATAGAACAGCTTAGTTGACATATAGACTGAAAGACTGGCTAGATCGATGTAATAAGATTTGAATGTTATATATATCTCGTAAACTATTTATTTACGAACGATATTGTCTACTTATAAATACATAAAAAAGGAATTTAGTGAATTCCGTAAAATTTAAGTTTTCCTTTTAATTTTGAATATGTATTTTCTTTTTACTCTATTAATTACAAAAAATCATTCTTTTCAGCCATATTGTATTTAATTTAGTTTTTATTTTTTTTCTTATCACAAGTCGACAGGAAGAAAATATTTATTTGTATTAATATATAAATTTCGTTGTGTTTTATATTAAACAACAATGGGTGGTATTCGTGTTATATGAATACAAAAGAAAATCATAGTCAAGGGTATAAATAATAAATAAAAAACAATTTCAAACTGGATGAATAAAATAAAAACGCTTTCACTTATTTTATCACTTCAAACACACGCATTCACCTACCCTGCGTTTTGAGTTACATGTCGCAACCTAATGATTTCACCTACGCTATTAACAGAATTAGTTATGCGAATAGATTCATATGTCCATATGTATTTTAATATGAACCTAACAAGTGAATTTCTTTTAAATTAACATCCTGTCTGCATTACAAAGAGTACATACATACATATGTACGTATCTTATAATATAAAAATATATAAATTGGCAACCAATATTAGACATTTAAGAAAAATAACAACCAAAAAGGATACATTGACTCTTTGTAAAATTTCTTGGTATATTTTTTGGCTTTTGTTGCTGTTTTTCTTCCTGTTTCTTTTAATTTTTGTTATTATTATTTTTGGATTTTGTTAAATCATCAACAGGTGTCGGGTTGTTTCTATACATTGGAAGTGAAAAAAATGGAATACAAAAGTATACTTATATACAAATGTATATATATTATCGATTTTCTCATCTGTATAGAATATTTAAAAATAGTTATTTTGTTACATTTTCACAACACACACGACACTCTGTTTTAATTGCTAAATTTTGCTGTAGATACACAAGGAAATTGGTTGGAATAATTAATGAATGAATAGATGAGTGGATATGACAACAAATCGGTACTTTTACTTATTTACTTCTTTACTGACTGTCTGACTTATTGACTGACTGTCTCAAGGCTGCCGCCAATGTTGGCGAAAATTTTTACGATATTTGTGTACAATTTGAAGATGGTTAATAAAGATGATGTTATATGAACTATAAAATTTCAAGAAATTTTTCCACTTTTCAGCCTATAAAAAGTTCTTGGAATTGTATACATACATAATATTTGATTTAAATAATCAGAACGTAGGATACAAATTCTTTTAATTAAAATTTAATTTAATAATTTTTTTTATGAATGAATTTCTTGAAATTTTATATTAATATTTTTATTCATAATCTATAAAAATTTAGCATCATTTACTTTACCCAGCAAAAACTTACATTGAAAAGTTAAAATGCTTTTTTATTTAAGTCATTATTATAACATGTGGATGACATTAGAGACAAGTACTTACCACGCTCGCTTACAAATAGGGAGTTAGGTAAGTACTTACTACGATCGCCTGTAAATAGGCAGTTTATTAAGTAAATTTGTTTTTGAGAAAAAATTGTCTACGAGAATACGCCCACTACGTCTATAATTAGTTTTCGCAAAAATTTTGTTCGTAGTATTTTAGTTATAGTTATTGAAAAGTATGTTGTTGATTAAGTACAAGTCATTACCATGTTTTTGCTGGGTATTTGAACAATTCTTATTTATATTTGTATGTTATTATACCGTCGGCCATGTTCGGCTATACATTCTTACTTGTTTTTTTATTTACAGACTCACTTTTAAATACATCGAGAGAACCAGGAACGTTTAGACCACATTTAAATAACAAAACGCTAATAAATATTTAACGTACAAAAACTTATGAAAACATTTCGATAATATTTTTTGTGTTCATGTTACCCAGTCATATCGCATGCGAAT